TGCTCATAATAAAATCCGAGAAAAGAGAGAGAAACTGAGGCGCTAAAAGTAAGAAATCTGCTGTCAGGAACACGTGCTCTGGAGAAAACACGGGAGACGAGACAGCTTTCTGCTACAACCTCCGAAAGACCCACACGTCAGGGGAGTTGTTCACGAGATGAGGGCTGTCCTGCCTCCCAGATCTTCTCAGTCAAGCCTGAGGGTCGCTAGGAAGCTGAAGGGTGTCATCCCACAGCCTCCTCAGCAGCAGACAGAGAGAAGGGATAATCTCAGAAAGAAGCCTGTGGATGTGGCTTCTGTCTAAGGAAGTGGATTACTGAGAAAAATGTACCAGCAGAAACTCTGCCAGGTGGGGCCGAAAGGATAGAGAGAATATGAAATGAAAGGAGCCTACCAGACCCCCGAGACCCTACTGGCAGGAAGCTGGCTGATAAAACTACTCGGATGCAAAGACATGTTCCCTTTCACGAAAAAGGAAGGATGACTCAAAGGGTGGAAGCAGCGCCCAGACGGTGAAGCTGAGCCAGGGAGGATGACCCCAGACCCTGAACCCCAATCAAAGAACTCCTGCTGGAGTCTGCCCTGCTGGGTCTCCCAACGGCTTTGGACCAGTGACTCCTTCTCACCTTCCATTTCCCCCTTTTAGACCAGAATGTCAGTAACTGTTATCCTATGCGTGTCCCAGCACCGGATGTTGGGAGTGCTGGGGGCAGGTCACGTGTCCTTTAGTGTCGCAGGTGCCCAGGAGCTGGATTTGAAGGATTACACCCAGAGACTCACCCTCACGTAATCTAGATGATTTAGATAATGAGATTTTGGATGTTTGAGCTGATAAGTAAGATTTAGGTGAAATTTGGGACTTCAAACTGATGGTATGACAGGGTGAGAACCTTGGGAACCTTGGGAGGGGGTGGAAGCATTTGACATCTGGGAAGGATGTGAAATTTTGGGGGGTCAGGGGCAGACTGTGGTAGGCAGAATTCTGAGATGACCTCCAAGAGTCCAGCCCGTTAACACCCCTTCTTCCAGCTATTCAAACACTAGTCCAGGTCTGCTGTAGAGAGATTTTTGCAGATGTAACTGAGGCCCCAATTCAGTTCACCTTAAACAGATGGTGTGGGTGGGCCCGACCTAATCACATGAGCCCTTTAAAAGCAGAGTTTTCTCCAGCTGACTGCAGAGAAGAAGTCAGAGAGACACACTCCAGCTTGCCAGCAGAAAGAAAACACGCATGTAGTGACCCGCCTAGGGGGGCCACACGGCTAGCAACTACGGGAGGCCTCTAGGAGCTGAGAGCAGTCCCCAGCCGACAGCTAGCAAAAAAATGAGGACCTCGGTCCTACATCCACAAATGAATTCTACCGACAACCAGTGAGCCTGGAAGGGACCCCAAGCCCCAGGTGAGAAGCGCAGGCTTGGCTGACACTTTGATTTCAGCCTCATGAGACCCTGAGCAGAGAATCCAGCCAGCCGTGCCTGAGTTTCTGACCTGAACTGTGAGCTAATGAATGCCACTAGGCTCGTGATGATCCGTTATACAGCAATCGGAGACTAACGCAATAGTATTTAGGAAAATGAAAGTAACTAGCAGAAGGAAACTGGGGTCCTTGAGTGCCGCTAACTGTTAAGCGCTTGACGACTAGCTGAAAGGCTGGCAGTTCGAACCCACCCGAAGGCACTTTGGAAGAAAGGCCTGGTGATCTGCTTTTGAAAACTCTGCCTTGAAAACTCTGTGGAACAGTTCTACTCGGCACACATGCGGTCGCCATGAGTCGCAATCAACTCGACAGCGACTAATGAGGACAACGAAACAGAAGAAAGGGCAGTTTTCTAAGTATTTAAAATACAGAGTGGCCACCAAATCTATAAACATTTTTACAAGGCAAGAATCTTAGAGACAAGAAACTAGCTAACAAGGAAGTAGCAGAGGCTGGGTCTTCCAGGATCCCTCCTTTGTCTTGTTACGTCCATCCTCTTTCTGGTGGTCTTTAACGAAAGGCTGGGGAAAATGAACTGCCTCTAGTCATTCTACAGTCTCTATAAGAAAGAGAAGCTTCAGAATAACTTAAGATACCCACTGATTTATGTACAGAACGTGTTGACAGCAAAAGCCTTGCTTCACTGAACAACTTCAAATTCTTTCCACCCACTAAACCTTTTATAAACCAAAAACAACCAACCAAAAAAACCCAAACCCACTGCTGTCGAGTTGGTTCTGACTCACGGCAACCCCATGCGTTCCAGAGGAGAACTGCTCCGTAGGGGTTTCTTGGCTGTAATCTTTACAGAAGCAGTTTGCCAGGCCTTTCTTCCACAGAGCCACTGGGTGGGTTCGAACTGCCAACCTTTACGTAACAGTCAATTACCAACTGCTTGCGCCACCCAGGCTCCTAAACCTTTTGTCAAGTCCGCTAAAAGAAACACAACTGAGTGGATTTGACTCGCCGTGTACACCTCAGAAACGGAAGGAAATGGCCGGAAGAACACCTCCACGACAGAAACGAGAAAGAGAGGGTACAGTTAATTTGCCCTCCTGACAGATAAGGAAGTCCAGCTGCACGTTACTAAGGCGTAGCTTCCATCAAGCTATGTGGACCTTGTTGACTTGAGTGCTAACAGGTTTCCACTGCCCATTCACATCACAAAGTCACCTCTCCCTGAGAGGGACACTGGCCAGGGGCGTGGTTGCCCATGAGCACCTGGGACCCTGAAGGCAAACTGTGCCTCCCCAAGGAGTGGTGCGGCCACCAATACCTTAAACGCGGGACTACACTCCGCATCACAGATCAGGGGACATGGACGTTGGATGTCTCTGCTGGGATACAACAGAAAACACCCACAGCGCCCATGATGTATTTTCGCCAAACCCTGGATGTGACCTAGCCTCTACCAGTTCCATTTGAGCTTACAAAGTGCACGAGTCATCAAAGAAGAAGTTAGACAATGCCGTAAGGGAACAGTCAGATGAATGCAGAGTGGCCTGGAAAAGTCAATGCCGTGGAGGGAGAGGGGGCACCTGAAGGACAGGACCCTGAGTCACAACCAGTGCAACCCAGGAGACTTGGCTGGTTTTTGTTTGGGGCTGAAAGCTATGGAAGACATTCTTGAGGCAATTGGAGAGATGTGAAAATGAAATGGATAGTCATTAATACCAAGAAATAACGCTCATTTTCCTCGATGGGATAATGGCAGGGTTGTTATGGAGGAGACAATCCTTACTCTCAGGATGGGCACGCTCTGATTAAAGGGTTTAAAAAAAAAAAAAAAAAAGAAAAAAACCCAAACTCACTGCCATCAAGCCGATTCCGACTCATAGCGACCTTATAGGGCACAGCAGAACTGCCCCAGATGATTCAATAATAAATATGAATTTAGAGAAAGAAATGAAGCAAATACGGCAGAATGTAAACAGTTGCTGAATTCAGGAGGACTACCACCCATCTGTCAGCTTGTCATACTGTGGTGGCTTATGTCTGCTATGATGCTGGAAGCTATGCCACCAGTATTTCAAATACCAGCAGAGTCACCCATGGTGGACAGGTTTCAGCGGAGCTTCCAGACTAAGGCAGACTAGGAAGAAAGGCCTGGCGATCTACTTCTGAAAATTAGCCAATAAAAACCCTATGGATTACAACAGAATATTGCCTGATACAGTGCTGGAAGATGAGCCCTAGGTTGGAAGGCACTCAGAATTCACAGTGGCTGCAACAATGGACTCGAGCATACTGGCGACCATGAAGCTGCTGCAGCACAGGGCAATGTTCTGCTCTGTTGTGCATGGGGTCACCATGAGTCGGAGCAGACTCCTTGACAGCCAGCCACAGGAGGAGGATATAAGGTGCTCATTGTAAAGTTCCTTCTATTTTTCTGTAGTGTAATAAAAACTTGGGTAAAAAAGTAAAATAACAGCACTTAAAATGAAAAAGAAGAAAGGCTAATCCTTCACTTCCTAGCTGGGACTGTGCCCTGTGCCTCCATTTCCTCAGAAGGCAAATGGGGAGCATCAGAGAGCGACCCCGGGGCCATCGGAGAATCAAACAGTCAACACCTGTGGCGCTCCAGGAACAGGACCTAGCATACGAAAAACACTCAATAAACACCAGCTTCTACTGTTGAGTACCTAATACCATGAGAAAGCTGGACAGTGGATAAGGAAGACCAAAGAAGAATGGGTAGATGTGAATCACGGTGTTGGTGAAGAATACTGACTAGACCGTGGACTGCCAGAAGAACAAAGAAATCTGTGTTGGAAGAAGTACAGCCAGAACACTCCTTAGAAGCGACGATGATGAGACTTTGTCTCTCTTACTCTGGACATGTTATCAAAAGGGACCAGTCCCTGGAGAAGGGCACCACGCTTGGTAAAGTAGAGGGTCTGCGAAAAAGAGGAAGACCCTCAACGAGATGCATTGACACAGTGGCTGCAACAATAGGCTCAAACATAGCAACGACTGTGAGGATGGCACAGAACCAGGCGGTGTTTCGTTCTTTTGTACACGAGGTTGGAGCTGACTTGACGGCACCTAACAGCAACAATAGGGGCCATGCCCTGTCTGAGACCTGAGAGATATAGCAGCTGACAAGACCCACGCAACCCCCACGAATCCCATGCAGCCCCCCGAGTCTCGTGCAGACCCCATGAGATCTGTGTAGCCCCCATGAGACCCACACAGCCCCTGCCTGTGAGCGGGAGACTTTGAGAAGGTCTGCAGACAGCTTTCTACTGTTTGCGTATTTCCTCCTACACACCTGGAATTGGCTGTTAATGTAGCAAGTCCAGAAAATACTAATGCATTTGGGAAAAAAAAAATAATTAGCCTCTACTCTCTTCATTCACCTAAATATTTGTGGTTCTCTCTAAAAACAAAACCAAACCAAAACAAATCAACCTAGCAATTGGTTGGTAGGGACTATAATTCCTGGTGTGTTTCAGCAGATATCAACAGGAGTTTGGCTTAATTCAACGGACGGTTCTAGAACACTCATGACACCACACTCACCTCAGTCCTCTGTCCTCATATGTTAAGTCACTCGTGGGTGTTCTTTTCTGTCATCGTGGCTCTGGTATCGTTCAGTTCTGTAAGGAGAAAAGCGGCAGACAGAAAAGATAGCATTTTATTATTCTGAAAGACCAAATGTCTTTTTCAATTTGAAGGTAAAATATTGTAGAATCGAAGAATAATCACTCTACGGTTTGAAGCACAGCACGGCATCTTTGCTGGGTTCATGGCAAATATCAGGACAGTGAGAAGCAAACAATAGGATACTGTCCCTACACCTCAATGTCGTTCAACAGTCACAGAACAATGACATCTTTAACTTTAAATGTAATTCTGATGGCTAACTGAGTAAGGCTCCAAATGAAATAGATCCTGCCACTTCACAGGTTAAAAAGTTAACAGTACAGGCCAAAAGGCACACCTTGCTTTAAAATCCAAATCAAACAACCCGAATAAGTAATTCCAATCATTGGCTAGTGTCCCCCACGCTAGCAGCCCCGCCAGCAGGCCTGAGAGGGGCCGAGGAAGTAGCAGCTGCTGACCCCAAAGTGGAGCCTTGGGTGGTCCTGAGAGTAGGGTGGTAGGGGGTCTCCTTCCATGTGATGCAATCAGGTACCTACGTCCTGGGATGAGTCCTCCAGGGGGCCTCCCGTGTGGCCTCTGGGTGGTGCCTTCCCAGCCCTGTGCCACACTCGCCCCAGGCAGTACAAGGCATGGTGTCCAGAGGTCTGGGCTCTCTGCAGGATGGAAGACACAGGCCGGGACTGGCCAGGCTCCTACAGAGCAGGTTCCTACATCTCGCAAATCCCTGGGACGTGATTTCCTGACGAGGAGCAACTATCTGAAACGCTTCATGGTCTCACGCCTTCTACGGTATTTAAAAGGACACAAATAAGCCAGTGCACAAGGACCAACATTTTCCCTGTTGTTAGGGACCATCGAGTCAATTCTGACTCACAGTGACCCCATGTGACACAGCAGAACTGCTCCATAGGGTTTCTTGGCTGCCATCTTTATGGCAGCAGATCACCAGGCCTTTCTCCTGTGGAGCCACTGGTGGGTTCAAACCCCCAACCTTTCGGTTAGCAGCCAAGCACTTAACCGTTGTACCTCCAGGGCTCCTCAAAATTTTCCCTACATATTTGAAATGGTTCAGGAAAACTTCCTACAGATGTTAGTTTAGAACTTCTGGGACAAAATAAAATGGAAAAAAATAAAGAGGCTCTAGAAGCAACTCACGTTTCTTCCTCAGAAGTCAGGCGCAAGGACAATTCCAATCAGAGAATTCCAAGTCACTGACTCATACACCCACGCACGTAAAATTATCTGCAGGGGTCTGACAGTGTCTTCCAAACTTAACACTGCTTGGTATTTGACAATTGCCAAGATCTGCTATTTGTGATTTATGTCCCCTTGTGTGTTGGTCCATGGCTCACAATGACGTCAATCATTATGGTGACAACAGAGGAAGCTGTACCAACCAAAGAGGCACTCAGATTGCTGTGACCTCATATTTAACAGCTACTGCACGATCATGGAGTCCCCGGGTGGTGCTAACAGTTAGGTGCTCAGCTACTAACCAAAAGGCCAGAGGCTCCTCAGAAGAAAGGCCTGGTGATCTATTTTGAAAAATCAGCCATAAAACCCTATGGAGCACAGCTCTACTCTGCACACGTGGGATCGCCAGGAGTTGGAATCCACCCAACAGCAACTGGTTTTGTTTTTTTTCTCTGATATATATAATCATCTTAATTTAACTTCTAGGATGCTTCTTGGGTACAGGCCCCACATTAGCGAAAAATCAGAGAGATGCCAGGCTCACAACACCACTGAGTCAGGTAGACTCTGAGAGACCCTGGGGGACCCCAGCTCACTCCCAGTATGCACCCCCTGTGTAATCCCCTCCCCTTGAGCGCGGGCTGGACCCAGCGACAAGCTTCTAACAGAACGTGATAAAAGTGGTGGGTAGTCACTTCTAAGGTGAGGTTACAAAAAGACTGACTTCATGCTTGCTCTCTCTGGCGTGAGGGAAGCAGCTGCCATGTTGTGAGCTGCCCCACGGGCAGGCCTGCACAGCAGAGAATTGCCATCTCCCACCAACAGCCACGTCAGCGTGCTTGGAAGCGGGTCCTCCCCAAGTCAAGCCATCAGATGAGACCACAGCCCCGGCCGACAGTCTCAGTGCAGACCCAGCTAAGCTGTGCCCAGACCTATGACTTACAGACACCATGAGATAATAAATGGGTGTTTTCAGCTACTAAATTTTGGGGTGATTTGTTGTGCAACAATAACTAACACAACCACCTGACACTATCACACCTTTAAAAATTAGAAAATGGGGAAACAAAGAGCCTAACCAAATCTGAGATGCCAGTGGTGGTCTGGTGGTAGAATTCTCACCTTCCATGGGGAAGACCTAGGTTCCATTTCTGGCCAATGCACTTTATGTGCAGCCACCACCTGTCTGGCAGTGGAGACTTGTGTGTTGCTATGACGTTGAATAGGTTTCAATGGATCCTCCAGACTAAGACAGACTAGGAAGAAAGGCCTGGCAACGACTTCTGAAAATCAGCCATTGACGACCCTATGGATCACAACGGTCCCATCCCACTGTACACGGGGCTGCCATAAGTCAGGGGCCAACAACAACCAAATCTGAATAACTAGTTTTCTAAATCTTCTACCAAAAATTCTACAAAGCAAATTAAAAAAAAAGAAAGAAAGTAAAATATATGTCAAAAGAATGAATCAGAAGTAAGCACTGAGTAAAAAGGTCCCAAGCGTTATATGTGGCAAATGGAAGTTTCTAAGCTGGCCTATTCAGGGAGACAATTCTGTTGTGATTCAGTACAATGAAACATTAAATTGCAATCTAAAATCTCCTAAGTAACAAGAAGCTGTGCCACAAAACCAGGTACCAAGCTGACAGTTTCGTGTCTCTCTAGAGTCCATGCTACAAGCCCAGAGTCTCAGACTATGCCTCATCCTATTGCCCAACTTCCGGATAAGTTTGCAGTCCCAACCCAAGTCGGCTTTTCCAAAAGTATACCCTACCTTCCTTTTATTCCTTCGTTCACTCAATAATATGACCCTACACCAGGCAGCCTGTGCTGGGAGCTGAGGTGGGCACAGCCCCTGCCCTCCTGGCGTTTACACTCTCTCCGAACGCTTCCAGAATTGTTTCACTTGCCACACTCTGGAGCTCTTCCAAAGCAAAGGCAGCAGATACCACTAGCTCTTTAATATTTCACAAAGTAAAAACTACATCCTGTTTTCTCATTATCGCTTCCAAATAAAAGGAACACACGGACAAGTTCTAGATGAAAGGCTGACTCACAGGCTTCAGAGAAACAAAGATTCTCCCTAAGTCCCTTTAATGCTGCCCCTTCCCGGAGTGGAGGGAGAGTGGGGAAGGTGCCTGACTCACGCACCTGACATGCAACCTCACCAGCCCCAACTTTCTGCACTGGGCCAACTACCCCCCAAATTCCCAGAAGCCCACACTCCCAGGCTCACATCTTCTGCGTGCTCCTGGAATCTCCTGGACACTGAAAACTCCCCTAGGCTTGGGATGAGGGTGCACCTGCGTGACCTTGAAATTGGGGCTCCTTTGGTGACACCACCAGGAAGAGGAGAGGGGTAGGAGTAGCTGTAGCAATCAGGCCCTGACCAAGGGTGCAGACAGGAAATGACAGTGACCCTGGCTGGAGGGAGCTGGGAAAACAGGGTAGCAAACAATTTGCTGGGTTCGGGGAGTGGGCACAGGGCTGGCCTGGGCCATGGAGCCAGTATGGACTAGGAATTCCCCTGAAGCCTGAGTCCCCAGAGCCAGGAGGGTGGGCCCCAACCTTGGCTCACACCTGCCCCAGGGCCCCAGTCAAGGTGTCAAGGTCTGTAAAGCTGGCCCAGGAGTTCATGTTATCAGGGCGCTCAGAGGCCTCATGGAAAGGGGGCATAGGTTTCACCTGTGGGGCTCAGGTGACCTGGATCCCAGAGGCCCAGGGTCTCAAAGCAAGCAGTCCTGTTGAGGGGGCTGTATCCTGCCCCAGGATTTGGGGTGCCTCTGGATCCCGCCCCAGGATCACAACCCTATGGGGGCCTGGCTCAGGGGCCCCAGTACTCCTCACACACCAGTCTTGGGAAGCAGATGCTCCTTAGGGACTTGTTCAGGGGTCCTGGCCCTCCCTGGGGACCTGTCCCATGGCAGAAGTCCTTCTCAAGGTCCAGTCTCACAGTTCCAGCCTACTGCAGGTGGCTGTGTCCGGGTCCCAGAAGTGCCCTTGGGCCTGTCCCAGGGCCCAGACCTCCTCAGAGACCATTCCTAAGATCTGGCCTTCCTCGGTGACAAGTCCTGGGGCCCCAGTCCTCCTTGCTGATATGTCCCGGGGTCCAGCCCTCCTCAGTGACAAGTCCTGGGGCCCCAATCCTCCTCGGTGATATGTCCCGTGGTCCAGCCTTCCTCGGTGACAAGTCCTGGGGCCCCAGTCCTCCTTGGTGATATGTCCCGGGGTCCAGCCTTCCTTGGTGACCCGACCCAGGATCTAGACCTCCTTGGTGACCCATCCCAGAGTCCCAGCTCTCCTGGGCTACCCATCCTGGGGTCTCAGACCTCCTCAGTGACCTGTTCTGGGTCTGGCCCTCCTCGGTGACTGGTCCGGGCTCCCAGCCCTCCTCAGTGACTGGTCCCAAAGCCTCAGCCCTCCTCAGTGACCGGTCCCAGGCGCCCAGCCCTCCTCGGTGACCGGTCCCAGGCGCCCAGCCCTCCTCGGTGACCGGTCCCGTGCTCCCAGCCCTCCTCGGTGACCGGTCCCGTGCTCCCAGCCCTCCTCGGTGACCGGTCCCAGGCGCCCAGCCCTCCTCAGTGACTGGTCCCAAAGCCTCAGCTCTCCTCGGTGACCGGTCCTGGGGTCCCAGCCCTCCTCAGTGACTGGTCCCAAAGCCTCAGCCCTCCTCGGTGACCGGTCCCCGGGTCCAGTCCTCCCTGGGTCCTGCCCACTCAAGGGGTCCAGCCCTCCCCGGTGACCAGCCCCGGGGTCCAGCCCTCCTCGGCGACCACTGATAAGGTCTGACCCACCCTGGGTCCTGAGCGGGCCTGGGGCCTGCCGAGGGTGCTGGGCTCCTGCGGGCCCAGCCGATGAGGGGACGCCCAGGATGCAGGCAGGGGCTTCCGGAGCCTTCCGGGCTCGCGGAGGCCGAGGCTGCGGCCTGGGAGCGGGCGCTCGGGCCCAGGCCCGGCTGGGACGGGGATCCACTGACCTGTGATCTCCGGGCCGCGAATGAGCGGGGCGCACGCGGGGGCCACACCGGGGGCGGGGGAGGGGGCGCCGCTCCCTCCGGGTCCCCCCCAAGAGGAGGAGAAAAAAACCCGTCCGGAGTTTAAAACAAAGAGGCGGAAATGCCCGAGTGAAGCCGAGCGCCGAGTCGGGGGCGCCGCGCTTGGAGCATGCGCGTTGCGCGGCCCGGCTCCCACCCTGCCGCCGGTAGCGGGGCGGAGCCGGGCGGGGGCGTGATCAGAGGGCGCGGGGCGGAGCCAGAAGGGGCGTGGCCAGAGTGCGCAGGCCCGGCTGGGCTCCGCAGAGGCTCGAGGGGCAGGGAGGAGGCGGGGCCTGCAACTAAGGGGGGTGGGACGGGGCCAAGAGGGGGCGTGGTCAGAGAGCGCAGAGGAACCCTTGCCGGCCCGAGGGGCCGGGAGGGTCGCGGAGGAGGCGGCGGCGGCAGGGCCAAGTGTGGCTGGTGAGGCTTGGACAGAGGACGCGGGGAGTGGGGAGAGGCCTGGAAGGGCGTGGTCATAGGGCGCTGGGCGCGGCCAGGAGGGGGCGTGGCCAGAGGGCACGAGACCAGCCGGGCTCCCCGGAGGAACCCGGCAGGGCTCGCGGGGGCGGGAGGGGGTGGGGCCTATGGGGGCAGGAGAGGAGTGGTCGGAAGCACAGGACGGGGCCAGGTAGGGGCGTGGTCAGAGTGCCTGGGTGGGGCGCTTGGAAACTGGAGGGGACGCAGCGCGGCCGAACGGGGGCGGGACCTACGAGAGGGGCGAGGTCAGTGGGTGCAGGGTGGGGCCAGAAGAGGGGCGTGGTTAGAAGTTCCAGGCTCTACTGCTGAACCCAGCTGGGCGCGGAAGGCCGGGAGAAGTCTGGAGGCGGCGGCGGGGCCGAACGGAACGGGGTTGGACGGGGGCGGGCCTACGATGATAGGCGTGGTCAGAGGGGGCGGGGTCAGGAGAGGGGCATGGTCAAAGGATGCAGGCTCCGCCTGGCTCTACGCCTGTACTCAGCCGGGCGCGGGAGGCCGAGAGGTGTAGGGAGCCGCAGAGGAGGCTTCGGCGAACCCGGCCTGAGACCTTACAAGCAGCTCAGCGCTGAGCATGTCTCCTCGGACTAGGGTTTCGTCCGGCGGAGCCTGTCTCCCCAGAAGGCGATGATGGTTGGCTGCGGCCACTTCATTCATTCATGCATTCCTTGCCCCTTCCCCGGAGACCGGCACCGAGAGCCCTCCTTGCCCCAGGCAGGTTGGGGATCGCAGCAGACAGGGGCTCTGCCTCCCGGCTTCTGACCACACAACTTGTCCGTTTGTCTTTGCGCAGGCACTGCTGGATGCAGTGACCGTGACGCCGACGCCCTGTGGAGTCCACACTGTCGTGGGAGGAACAGCAATAACAGAGGAAAAAGTAAACACGGTATCATGCAGGGAAGAAGCAAGCCAGGGAAGTGGAGAGGGAGCGGGTGGGGGTGCTGGAGTGTAACTGGAGTGGATGGACCAGAAGGGCCTGCAGATAAGGGCCGGCACAGTAGAAGGAGGGACCCAAGCAAGTATCTGGGGGGACTAGCACACCCAGGGAGTGCAGCCCCTCTTCCCTCTTGGGAGCGATGCTAGGAGGAGGCAGTGTGGCTGAAGAGCAGAGGGTGCAGGAGGTCGGAGATGAGCACAGATGGGGACCAGGGACTATGGAGAGTAATGAGCACCCAGGGGCAATCTCTAAGTTGTGCCCCACCCCCGCCATTTCAGGATGGATAGACGTTGATAGCTGCCTCAGCAGATAACCCCCTCTCTTGTCCAGCTGCCTCAGTCAGGTGCCTTTCACACTTGTGGTGCCTTAGAATGTCAGCCTTGTCTGCGGGCAAGTGCCTCCTTCTGCCCCCCTCCTCCCCTCCTTCCAGCCTCCCAGTGGCTGGAGGACTGAGCAGAGGGGTGCCAGGACCAGGTGGGGGGCCGAGGAGGGAGAGGGAGAGTGGGGTTGCTGAGGGTTGGGGCGCAGCTGTGAGTGGAGACTGGAAGCGAAGAAGGAAGAGATCGGATGACTGAGCCTGTGGGCCCTCCAACAGGGAGAAGTCTGGGAATCAAGAGGCGTCTTAGTTTCTTAGTGCAGCTCTAACAGAAATACAAGTGGGTGGCTTTAAGGAACCAAATTTATCTTCTCACAGTATAGGAGGCTGTTGTTGCTGGGTGCCCTCGAGTTGATTCTCAACTTACAGCAATACCATGTGACAGAATAGAACTGCTTCATGGGGTTTTCTAGGCTGTAATCGTTATGGAGCAGATCGCCAGCTCTTTCTCTGGTGGAGGCACTTGAGTCGGTTCCAACTGGCTGTCTTTCAGTTAGCAGCCAAGCGCTTAACTGTTGTGCCACCGGGAGGTGAGAAGTCCAAATACAGGGCACCAGCTCTTGGGGAAGGCTGTCTGTTCGCTCTGGGGGAAGATCCTTGTCTCACCTTCGGTAGCCCCAGCTTTTCTTGGTTCCTTGGTGGTCTCCATGTGGCATCTATCTTCCCCCATTTGTACTTCCTTCTCTCTGTGTCTAATCTTCTCTTTTTATGTCTCAAAAGTCATTAGGGTTGGGCGGATGAACCCCTGAAACTATTGCCCTGAGATAATCTTTAAACCTTAAAGAAAAATATCCCCTGAAGTCATCTTAAAACTGATGGTTCAGCTTAACTAGTAAAGAATGTCTGTCTTGAGGATTATGCTCTTTGAAGAATTGTCTATATGAGATCAAACTGACAATGGCAAGATTAGATAAGAACCTTAGGGGACAGTGAGTTTCTTAATGAGGGAGGAACAACTCAGAAAAGAAGGGTGAGAATGGTTGCACAACTTGAAAAATGTAATCAATGTCACTGAATTGTACACGCAGAATTTGTTGAATTGGTTTATGTTTTGCTGTGTATATTCTCAACAATAGAATAAATAAAATTTAGAAAAAAAAAGCACTAGGTTTAAGACACTCCCTACACTGATATGGCCTCATTAACAAAACAAAGAAAACCCTATTCCCAGATGGGATCACACCCACAGGTGTAGGGGTTAGGATTGGAGGGTGCACTTCAATCCATAACAAGAGGGAACCAGCAAGAAAGACCCAGATGGAGCAGCCACAGGGAAGAGGAGACCCAAGAGTGAATGATGTCCCCTGCGCCAGGTGAGTAGATGATGGGTCAGGTCAGCGTCAGTGAGGGGCCTGAGGGCTGACCTTGGGAGCCCCAGGCGACCTTGGCCAGTGCAGGCTGGGTGCTTTGTTGGGCGTGAAAACCTGATCATTGTGGGTTTCAGAGAAAAACAGAAAAATTGGAGACATGAATATAGACAACTTTTCTCAAGGTGTTTTTCTGTGAAAAAGAAGCAAAGAAATGGGACTAGAGCTGGAGGTGATGTGAGGTCAAGAGAGGGTGGTTTCTTTTTCATCGGGAGCCATGACTACATGCATGGGTGCTAATGGATCAGTCCCATGGAGAAGGAGATGCTGCAGCGAAGTCCTTGCATAATACATGGGTTTGCGGTCCAGGTGAAGAGGCTGGCCTTCGACAGAAGTGGGGATCACCCATCACAGACAGGAAACAGGTAGGCAGGGTGCTGATGGAGTGGGTAGTGGGAGTCGGGTGGGAGTGAGCTTGTGCACTTCTCTTCTGGTTGCTTCTGTTTTTCCAGTGAAATGGAAGCTAAGTCATCAGAGAATGAGGGTGGAGGGGAAGAGAAAGGAGGTGCCAATGAGCAGATCTGGGTGCGAGGAGCAGCTGTGTGGATGAGGGCAGAGTGGCCTCAGGAAGTCATCTAATGCCCTTCTTCCACCTGGGCCACCTTGTCTGCAAATGGGGGTAAAACAGCTGTTTTTCAGGCTGCTGAGGGGGAGCTGAGAGTGTGTGCATAAGGTGCTGATGTGTAATGGTACAGTCCAGGCCCTCAGTCTTTCTGCCCAGAGGGCTTAGATTGGATACCTGGTCGACCTGCAAGCTCTCGCAGGTGACCTCACCATGCCTAAGACCTCTTCCTGAGACTCAGAGTTCATAGGTTCAGCTGCCTAGGTATCTCTTGTTCTTGTGTACTGTCAAGTCGATTCCAACTCATAGTGACCCTATAGAACAGAGTAGAACTGCCCCATAGGGTTTTCTAGGCTGAAATCATTATGGGAGCATATCGCCAGGTCTTTTCTTCCATGGAGTGACTGGTAAGTTTGAACCGCCAACCTTTCGGTTAGCAGCTGAGTGCTTAACCATTGCACCACCAGGGCTCCTTAGGTATCCATAGGCACCTGTAATACAGCATCAGGACTTGTCTAAATTCCTGAGGAAGAAGAATCAGGATCATCACAAAGCTGATACCTATGAGGTGGAGGTCAGTTATATCTCCACCTTCCCCCTTCCACATGGTTTCTGACACCAGTCATTCCCCCTACGGCATTCTCTACTTCTCTTCAGGGTTCAATAATTCATTTCAATGGCCACACACAACTCACAGACCACACTCACAGTTACATGTTTTATTAGGAAAGTAACAAGCTACAACTCGGGATTAGGATCAACTTGGAAATAACAGGAGCAACTTGGGATCAGGATCAGGAAGCACACAGGCAAGATCTAGAAGGCTCCCTTAAAGTGGAGAGCACATCCTTCTCTTCTTTAGTGCAGGACAACTTCCAACTAAGACAGCTGTCCCAGCGCTCTCTGCCATCAGGCCTCACTGCCATTAGGCCTCTCTGCCTTCAGGCCTCTCTGCTGCTAACTGCTTCAGCTCACAGCCAGTGTAGTAGCCCTCTCTCAGCCATACAGGCTCTGCTGCTGAGCCCCTTCTAGGCCTGTCAGCTGCTGGCTCTGCTGCTGGCTCCCTTCCAGGCCTCTTGCCACCAACTCTCTGCTGCCAGGCCCCTTCTGGGCCTCTTGCCTTCTTCGGTGTTACAGCCGTTAACCTGTATTGCAGCTCTTATTGGAGGATCCCTACACAGGAACCCTAGTTCAAACCACTCTGCTCCAGGCTCTTCTTGGTCTTGAGGTTCCCTCCTCCCCGTTTTAAACCTCTGTAGACATGGCTGCTTGTATAAGCAAGCTCCTTGTCAATTTCAAGGTATGGCCCTCTGAGCAGGACTATGAAATGACCATTTGCCACATTGGAGCACAACCCACTCAGTCTTATTGGGTGGATTTACACACCACCTTTCCGACTAGTAAACCAACCAATCCCTGCAAGGTGAGTATGATGGTTAATGTTACGTGTCAACTTGGCTAGGTTATGATTCTCAGGGATTTGGCAGACACTATGTAATCACCTTCCATTTTGTGATCTGATGTGAGTAGCTGATCAGTTGAAAAGGGAGTTTCCTTGGGGGTGTGGACTGCCTCCGATATATAAATGGATGTTCTAGCAAAGCTCGTGCTCTCTCTCTCTACCCCATATTCTTCTTGTTACCTGACCTCCAGTTCTTGTGACATGAGCCTGCCCAAGTCTCTGGCCTGCCGCCTGACTTGCAGATTTTGGATTTGCCAACCCCACAACCACGTGAGCCGGCAGAGGCCTTCACCTTGCTGCCTGACCTACAGACTTTGGATTCCCCAGCCCCTGCAATCCTGTGAGCCAGCAGAGGTCTTCAGCTTGTCGCCTGACCCACGAATTTTGACTTGCCAGCCCCTACAATTGCATGAACCATTTCCTTGAAGTAAATTTGTCTCTCTATATGTTTATATATGCTTCACTAGTTTTGCTCCTCTAGAGAACCTGAACTAAGACAGTGAGTAAAACAATCACAGGGCAGACTGTGGCCCAACCATGATGGTTAATGTTCATATGTCAACTTGACTAGGCTGCAGTTCTCAGTTGTTTGGCATGTGCTCTTCCATAATGCAATCACTTTCCATTTTGTGATCTGCTGTGAGCAGCCAACCAGTTCAAAGGGGAGTTTCCTTGGGGGTATGGCCTGCCTCCATTTATATAAATGGATGTTCTGGCAAAGCTCGCACTCTCTTTCTCGTTCTCTCTCAACCCTGCACACTTTTTTATATCTTCATTTGGTATCAAGAGTGGTTCTAAAAAAAAAACCAAAACCAAACCCATTGCTGTTGAGTTGATTCTGACTCATAGTGACCCTACAGGATGGAGTAGAACTGCCTCATAGGGTTTCCAAGGCTGTAATCTTTACAGGAGCACACTTCTACATCTATCTCCCAAGGAGCAGCTAGTGGGTTTGAACCACTGAGCTTTTGGTTAGCAGCTGAGTGCTTAACCACTATGCTACCAAGGCTCCTTTAAGAGTGGTTCTAGGGGAACAAAAATCTTAAGGATGAGATTTCTGAATTGGTTCTCAAATCTGACTAGATTTAAAGGCACTACTAATGACTTTATTCCGGTAATACAGAGGGCACTGTTAATCCATGGCATGATGTGGCAGTAGAGAAAAGGAAAATATCACCACCACTGGATCAAATATTTGTGAGAGACAAGGCTCTGTGTGATCATGTATTTGATGCCTTTCAACATTTTTGTCAAACTGACAAGTATAATGAAGCTAGCCGTTTGCTCATACTTTTGCTAGAAAAAGGTGAGGAAGAAAAAGGATGAACTCAGAGCTTCAAAGTCCCAGCTTGAGCACTGCATAAAGGACCTGAAAGTTGCTTTTTGTGCCCTGAAAGAAAGCCTTATTTCTTATAGCAACAGAGTTGATATTGCTGAAAACCAAACTGAGAGTCTTATCCTAAGAGTGGCTGAATTACAAAACCAATTGAATTACCAACCTCAAAAGGCATCTGAACTTAAAGTGAGGGCACTGATTGAAAAGACATGGGATCCTGAAAATTAGGTTGGAGACATATGGGCAGATATGGATGAAGATTTTTTCAACAACATAAATGGTGACTCTATGTGTGCACCTCACCAGATGGAATACACAGGAATCAAATGAAATACATCTGTGGAAAGAGATGATGGGCACTCTCAGTATCATCAGTCAGAATAAGGCCAGGGGCCAACCGTGGGACAGATGTATCAATTGCCCATATGCAAGTTCAAGTTTAAACTGAAGAAAATTAGAGCAAGTCCACGAGAGCCAAAATACGATCTTGAGTATATCCCACCTGAATTTAGAGACCATCTCAAGAATAGTGTCATGGATTGAATTGTGTTCCCCCAAAAATATATGTATCAATTTGGCTAGGCCATGATTCCCAGTACTGTGTGATTGTCCGCCATTTTGTCATCTGATGTGATTTTCATATGTGTTGTAAATCCTATAACTATGACATTAATGAAATGGATTAATGGCAGTTATGTTGATGAGATCTACAATATTAGACTGTGTCTTAAGTCAATCTCTTTTGAGATATAAAGGAGAGAGGCAAGCAGAGAGATGAGGGGACCTCATACCACCAAGAAAGCAGCACCAGGAGCAGAGTGCATCCTTTGAATCTGGGGTCCCTGCACCTGAGAAGTTCCACAACCAGGGGGAAATTAATGACAAGGATCTTCCTCCAGAGCCAACAGAGACAGAACCATTCCCCTGGAGCTGATACCCTGAATTTGGACTTGTAACCTACTAGACTGTGAAAGAATAAATTTCTCTTTGTTAAAGCCATCCACTTGTGGTATTTTTGTTATAGCAGCACTAGATAACTAAGATAAATAGATTTGATGCCTTGAACACTAATGACTGAAGACCAGAAGAAGTGAAATAACATCAAGGACCTCATACATGAAGAAAGCGAAAAGTCATTAGAAAGACAGGAAATAAAAGACCAAAACGGATGTCAGAAGAGACTCTGAAACTTGCTCTTGAATGTCAAGTAGCTGAAGCAATGGAATGATGAAGTAAAAGAGCTGAACAGAAGATTTCGAAGGGCAGTTTGAGAAGACAGTCTAGGAACCCTAATCATCAAAGACAAAGCTGAAGAATTGGACTGAGCAGCAGGTGGAAGGAGAGACAATTCAAAAGCAGCAGAGAGGTGCAGATTGTGACATTGCCAGCACTCTGCTAACTGAGTATGTGCAGCACACACAGGCTGAGGCAAGCAGCATCATACAAAGACAAGCGTCACCACATCAGGTACAGCCAAGCAGCAGTGAATCTGCACACACCTCCAGAACCAAGTAGGAGCGGCACAAGACCTGTAAAAGTTAATTGAAAGCTTCTGATCTACCGCATGGGGGCAAAATAATCCCACCCCCTCCCAGAGTCTCATAGCAGAGCAATGCTTCCTTCCCCTAAACCACCCCCACCCCACTCTGCTCTGACATCAGCCCCACAGTATTCAACAACTGTCATGGCCCCTAATCCGGGAACTCAGGGCTCTCCACGCCCACACCATTCTTGTGGCTTTAAAAAACATCACGACCCCTAAGCCAGGAATGCAAGGTTGGTCAGGAGGCACTGCTGCTTCGCCTAGCCACTAGCTTAAGGGGTCCATGGACTTGCAGTGCCCCTCACCCCTGCCCAGAACTTTGTCGGCTGATTCAACAGCACATGCCCTTATTAGCATAAAACAGAAAGGCATGCACCTAAAGCCCATTTTCAACTGCAGCAGCCAAGGGAAGCTGCAGATTCGTGACATTTGACACCACTCTGCCCCCTAAGCAGGGACCTCACCCACCCACACGGGGGCCTGAGGGCTGGCAGTACCACCTGCTGCATCTAACCACCCATGACAGGGGTCTGAGAATTAGTGGTACCTTCCAGTCCCTCCAGCCAACAGTACTGGGTACCCAAGGACCAGCTGCAATACCCCCCACTACGCGCTCTAGGGAAGCGGGACATGCCCTCCACCCAGTCACCCGGGGGCAGCCGTCAAATCCCTGCCTTGCTCCACACATAGCCCCCCACTGCAGCCAGATACCTGTGCCTGCCCCAAACACCCCTATGCAGCCCTGCCTAGGACTGTAGGTGAGAGTTTGCATCATACACTCGGTAACCAACAACCTAGACACGTACTGCACCTCCACAAGAAAAGTGAACAGACTCCTAGGCTCACGCACCTAGTAGCTGCTCTGACCACCTGCAGACAGGTTAAGAGAGCTTCAAAGACGCCAACAACCAAAGTAGCTCACATGCCTAGCCTACTTGGGCATATCAAAACAATAAGTCAGAACACAGTAAATAAACATACAATAAATAAATATAATAACTTATTGATGCCTCAGAGACGACTGTCAATATCACATCACATAAAAAAGCAGGTCAAGATGGCTCTAACAAGTGAACAAGATAAAGAACCAGGAAATCTTCCAGACGAAGATAACGCCATGGAACTACCTGAGAAAGAATTCGAAAGACTAATATACAGAGCTCTCCAAGATATCAGGAAGGAGATCATGCAAAACTCAGACCAAGCCAAGGAACACACAGACAAAGCAATAGAGGAATTCAGGAAAACAATGCAAGAACAAAATGACAAAATCAACAGGCTGCTAGAAACCATACAGAGACAGCAGCTGGAAATCCAAAAGATTAACAATAAAATTGCAGAATTAGACAACTCAATAGAAGGTCATAGGAGCAGAAATGAGATAATAGAAGTCAGAAGTAGTGAGATTGAAGATAAATCCCTTGACACCAGTTTATTTGAGGAAAAAGCAGAAAAAAGAATTTTAAAAAATGAAAGACTAAGAATTATGTGGGACGCTATCAAGAGGAAAAAGCTGTGAGTGATTGGAGTACCAGAACAAGGAGAGATAGCAGAAGACACAGGGAGAATTGTTGAAGATTTGCGGCAGAAAACCTCCATGATATCATGAAAGATGAGAAGATATCTATTCAAGCAGCTCAATGAACCCCATACAGGGTAGACCCCAAAAGAAAGTCACCAAGACATGTCATAACCAAACTTGCCAAAACCAAAGACAAAGATAGAATCTTGAGAGTGGCTAGGGATAAAGGAAAAGTCACCTATAAAAGAGAACCAATAAGACTAAGCTTTTTCTACTCAGCAGAAACTATGCAGGCAAGAAGGCAATGGGATGACATATATAAAGCCTTGAAGGAAAGAAATTGCCAGCCAAGAATTATATATCCAGCAAAACTATCTCTCAGATGCAATGGTGAAATTAGGTCATTTCCAGTAAACAGAAGTTAAGGGAATTTGTAAAAACCAAACCAACATTACAAGAAATATTAAAGGGAGTCTTCCAGTTAGAGAATCAACAATATCAGACAGACAACAATCCAAGTCTAGGACACAGGACAGATCAACCAGTTACCAACCTAGATAGGGAATTCACAAAACAAATAAAAGCTAAAAGAGTGAAAATAGGGAATCAGAGACGTCACTATGTAAACAATGACAATGTCAAAACAAAAAAAGAGGGAGTAAAAAGTGTAGTCATATAACTTCCATATGGAAATAAAAGATTGGTTTAAACTTAGAAAAATAAAGATAAATTTCAAGGTAACCATACAGGAAACAAACAAACCTATCCATCGAAATAAAAAACAAGAAAAACATAAAGACTCACCAAATGCAAAATCAACAATAATGAAAAAGATGAAAAGAAAATACATAAAGAAACTCAGGAAACAAAATTAAGTGGAACAAAGAAACTGTCAACACCCCCAAAAAAAAAAATCA